ACAGATGTGTGCACTGACACCCTTTACCTCTTCTCCACCATGGAGACGGATGCTCTGAGTACAGTGATTACTGACACATTTTTCTCAGATTGAGGATGGCTTATGATCTCGGTGCTGCTGCCTAGATAAACCAAACAATTTTACAGGCCCAGCTTTCTGGACCTGTCACTATACTCCCAGGGTGTTAAGTGATTTGAGAGACAACAGGGCCTAATGAGAAGTGCACCAAAGGAGAAGGGACAAGGTCTAGGATCAAGTCCCTTATGTAGCCTTAGTGTTGCTGGTGATGATGACCTTGATCGAGTCCTTTAACACCTCCAAACTTCATTTGCCTAACTGATAAAATTAAGGAGGGGCTGGGTTAGGGAGAGGGGAAGATATATGAGCCCATATAAAGAGCATGTATCTTTATATCCTCAGCCACGCCCAAAGCTCAGCATCTAGTTCATTACCTGGCTGATAAAAACAAATACAGTCTGTCACTTCGGACATTCCTTGATTTTAACATGTGTGTTCACGCACGCATACACACACACACACACACACACACACATGGAATATTTTGTTGCTTTAAAATGGTCACAGTCTAGTTGACCAAATGTGGCCTGCAAAAAGTCCTATCTTTGATGTCCCCTGAGTTTCAACAAAATTTTGAGTTAACACTGAAAACCGAGGAAATGTTGTATGATAGTCTGGATTTTTAGTTGTGACTGAAAACCTGAGAAGGCGGACCCTCTTGGCCCTGCATTTCTACTTGGCAGAGCAAGTCCTGGAGCTTTTAGCTTCACTTTTTTCAGAAGTTCCCCACATCTACACCAGCCCTAAGGGAATTTGACATAGAGATCGAACATTCCTTGCTGTAGATTTCATACGGATGGCTATTTTTCCTATAATTGAGAAATACTGCTCTTTCCTGAGTCTCCATCAGAAGCAGAGAGACAAAAGCCAGTCCTAGATGCCTGTTGTTTGAAAGAAAGTAGAAATGAGTGGATGTCTTGTGAAAGTGTTTACTCTACCATACTTAGAGCCATTTTCGGTCATTTACCTTACCAGCCTGTCCCCTTCTGTCATTGGAGACTGTCTCCTCTTTAGAAGGTCAACAGATGTCACTGTAGAAATAGTACAGTAGATACATGTCCAAGCTGCATGTTAATATTTTGCTATTTGCCTTATTAAAATATGTATCATATTTTAACATAATTTTTGCACTAGTTATAAAACTTAACTTTCCTGGACTTGAGTCCTCTTGTATAAAATAAAAGTGCTAGACTGAGTTATCTATCACAAGTATATACCCTGTTAAAATAGTTACCATATTTTAACATAATGTACGCACTTTTTATAAAATTGAACTTTTCAGGACTTCATCGCCCTCTTGTATAAAATGAAAATACTAGACCAGGTTATCCCTAGGGTATATCTCAGCTGAAAATGCCCTGATTTTAAAGTTTACTTCTTATAAAGAAGCCACCATGACACTACTATCACAAACCACACCCTATTAAAAGGATCCAGGCTGTTTTCTCTTCCAACCTAAGGCAGATTTCATTGACCGCAGCTGTCATTTTTCATGTTGACACTGGACAAGTATTGGAGAGACCATAGTTTCAGAATGAAAAACTCTGCTCAGATTCGATGTGTACCTTTAAAATGCATTTATATTGTGCGTTTGTATCTTTGAACTGATGAGGTCGTGACACTGGCAAATCTTTGCCAATTTCTAGCTGGGCTTCAAGTTCTTTGCTGCTAATAATGGTTAAAGTACTAATTCTTGCTAATGGAGAGTCAGGGGATTCAAGGATATCACCAGGAGAAAGCTTATCTCATTCTTATAAATACTGGCATGATTTTTAAATGAAAAATAAAAGGTTATACATGGAGTTACAGGCCTCTCATCATGAATTCCCATAGGACTGAGAGCTATTGCTGGGGAACTTAAAATATATCAATATCTGACGCCCAGCGATTCTGAATTAATTGGTCTGTTGTAGAGCCTGCACAAAGGAACTTTAAAGTGCCTCAAGTGATTCAAATGTGAAAACACTTATTAATAAAGACTTTGGTTTGTAGATTGTGAGTACTGACCAGGTTGCCAGACAGAAGATTGAAACAATACCACTGTGAGATCAACTTTATGGTTTTCTTCATGTCTACTTTTTCATTCAGAATCTCGCATACTTGATTATGTCATATAAGATTTCTCCAACATTGGGCAGTGGAGAGGTTTCTGAGGAATTATCTAACAATATTTTTAAGTAGAGTCTTGGTGATTGTTTTCTGGTATCAGCGAAAGAGTTCCAACTTAGAGGAGTTGTAGCCCAGGTTTGTTCTTTAGCATAATTTTTACATTGGCATTCAGTCTTTTCTAATATATGATGGGACATCATGATAGACTGTACATACTCTTTGGCTCACTAAAGAAAATCACATCATACTTAAGTAATTCAGAAAGTGAGCAATTCAACTGCATACTGGTTTTTTATTTTGTGAAAAGTAAATGCTCCTGATGCCGGGCTCGGTGGCTCAGCCTGTAATCCCGCGCTTTGGGAGGCTGAGGTGAGTGGATTGCCTGAGCCTGAGGGTTCAAGACCTGCCTGGGCCACTTGGAAAGACCTCATCTCTACAATAAATCAAAAAATTAGCCGGGCGTGGTAGCGTGCGCCTATAGTTCCAGCTACTTGGAAGGCTGAAGCGGAAGGATCGCTGGAGCCCAACAGGTCGAGGCTGGGTGACAAAGTGAGACTCCAACTCAAAAAAATAAAAAAGTAAATGCTCCTGACCCCTTAAAGGAAAGGTATGGATTCTTACATATGACTGTGTCTAACAGACCCTTCCTGTTTAGGAATTCTATTTACAGATGGTAGAAATAAGAGTTAAGAAGTGAGTGACTCCAGCATATGTCTATTGCCACACTCTTATTTTATAACTAAAGACACAGAGGTACCTGACAAGTAGTGATCTGTCCCTATTAGTAGATGTCAGGACCAAAAGTAGAACCCCTCTGTAGTTTTCTAGGCCAAGACTCCTCCACCTGTGTCACTGGATTTCCACAAATTCTTCCCCCTTGCTGTGAAATATTCATTCTGCCACTGTCACTTGTCTGAGAAGGCAGGTGCAATAGGACGCATACAGATAACTCTCAAATGATGATTATTTAATGCTATGGTATCTTGCATGTGATAGATAATTGTGTATATATATGTATATTCTGATTTTGAATGTAATGAATCAGGGCAGGTTTGCTCAAATTTCTTTGCGATTAACCTCCAAAGCAATACTTCCAGACCACATACCAGTGCATGTCAGAATTAAATTTGTTGATCGCACCTTTAGTTTTGATGACCTTCTTCTACTGCTGTTGTGCTAATACTTTTCCCATCTCCGACTGGCTTTACTTTTTGCAGCTTTGAGCAGTAACTCAGCCCCCTACGCCTCCCTGGTTGGCTCTGTGTCTTCCCTCTCTAGCCAAACCACCACTCAGTCCATATATGATAGTAGCTCTCTCCCACGATTCGCTCGAAAAGGTCTAAACATCTTTGTCTCTATTATTTTCTCTGTTCAAGCACTGTGGTGATGTCCGTGTCAGTCCGTTTCCATCTTCAGATAAGCCTAGTCTCCTGCGCCTTCACATTTCCATTCTTTTCATCGGGGGTGTCTCATCTGGATAAGTTCACTTAATTATCAAATCGCTGTCACCCACCTTCTCCCTGCAGAGAATGTAACTTAGTTCGATTCTACCGTCAACACAGACAAGCTCCAAAAAGAGCCCTAAAATGCTGGTCCACTGGCATAGTTAGGTCACCAGCAAAGAGCTGCTGCTTCCAAACTGCTCATTGTTATTGACTTTCCACTAAGCTTTTAGCTGACTGGAAATAGACCTCCAGAGCCCTGAAAACTAAACCACCCCAATCCACAGCCCTGTGCTAAAGTGATAGTCTTGAAAAAGCAAAATCACTTTCTACTTAACTTACCTAACTTCAATACCTAACCATCAATAATTTGGCATTTGAGATAAAGGGACTTCCTGGGTGACTTTCAACACTGGCACAATTGTAAAATGCCCATAAGGTAATCACATGTCATGTTGACCGAAAGGTCGCCATTCCACAGCCTGACACCCTCCAAAGAGTCGCAACGCCTGCAGAATGTCAACATGGCTTCCAGTTTGAGCTCCTCCCTCATTCTCTTTCTGCTTCAGAGGCTTCCCTGGGGACATGCTAGTTCAGGTTTTTCTAGCCAGCTGGAATTTGTGTCTGTAAGATATGAGTCAGCAGTGCTTTTTCATGATCCGTCTGCAAAATTAATCGGAAAGGCATCAAATGCAAATCACATAAAAAGTGAGAACACATCAGAAAGATGCAGGAATCACCAAAATTGACAGGGGATTATTTTTAAAGGAATCTGTGACATGAATACATCTTCCGCTGGCTGACTGAACGAGGCTGTGTCAGCGCCCGTCTCTGCTGTTCTTTTGTTCACCCTCTTTCCCTCCTTGTCTGTTCACCATTTGCTCACTTTCCTGACTTCATCTCCCATTCGCGGACAAAGATGTTTACACCTGAAGTAGATTGTAGGTTTGCTGGGGGTTGAATAACGGGGACCTGAGGACAAATATCGCAGAGTTGTCAGTGTGGCCACTTATGAACATCCAGGAGAAGGCTGCAACCCCAGCCTCTACAATCTGCTACTAGTGAAAACATTTTTGAAGCCCAGTTTGGTGTCTGACTGTGCCGTCAGTGTCAGTGATTCTCGTCCGTGTGCCGTGGGGCATGTCATTCTTTGTGTCTGTGTTTGCATGTGAATGTCAGTCACCTACAGATTCGGGAAATATCCAAGCGATCTTAATCTAAAGTCACACTAGATAGTGGATCCTGCAAAAACTTGCAGCATTTTTATTCGTCCTTTTAAAAAGTGTAGCAGGCTATCCATTTCATTTTTTTCAACAAGCTTGTTCTGTTTTATTTTATTTTATTTTATTTACACCATCATTTCCTTTGCAGGTTCAGATGATTCCGGTTACCCTGGTAACCTTCATTCTTCAAGTTAGTTTTCCTTGATTACGCATAAGTCATTTTACGTTGCCTATCAAGCCTCTCCTCTTTCCCTTTTAGGCCTTCCTCAGTGTCTGTTTTCTTAGTTCACTTTACACCATTTAATGCCACATGGTTTCCATTTCACACAGTGCAGGAGAAGGAGTTTGAAATGACATAAAAGTCATTACTCAAAGCAGAAGTTGACATCAAGCCTGACTGTCAATTTTCTCCGCTAGCTAACCTCATTGATTCATGGCACAATAACGCTTTCTCTTACACTAGGAGTGTTAGTTTGGAGAGTATGCTCAGTGACTTTTCATTGGGCTACCAAATCCATCCTTCCACAGCATGTCCTGCTTTGAGTAACCAAACTATTTGCCTGCTTTCTCACCTACAACATCTTTACGACTCACGTGTTTTCAGGCCATTTCTAACTATCGCATTCTCTATATTTTGGGCCAGTCAGCATCCTGTTCTTGGGTTCTCAAAGGCCTCTCTTCTTTCCTTTTTAACAGGTATGGCTAGTCATCCTCCGATACCTATCTTGGAACTAGCAGACCACATCGAAAGGTTGAAAGCAAATGACAACTTGAAGTTTTCCCAGGAATATGAGGTAATTCGCTGCATTTTAAATGGACAGTTACCTTTCCCTTCTGTTGACCATATTCCTGAATAATTAACTTTATCAGCTTTTCTCTTTACATACGACTTCGAATCGGATATAAAATTTTCTAATGAATAGCCAATTTAAAACTGTCTGTAAAATCGATATAGGGATTGCACTTTAAAAAAATGTTGACTATCCAGATGTTCAGTGTTACTCCATGAGGCTATATCTTTCCTGTTTTATTTTATTTTCAGAAAATGATAATTGTGCATATTTATATACTATTCATTATTATTCATTATAGTCACCGTTCTGTGCAGTGGACCACTAAAGCATATTCCTGCTATCTAGCTGAAACTTTGATCAACAGCTCTCCTTTCCCCATCCACCCTCTGTTAATCACCTTCCTACTCTCTCCTTCTATGAGTTTGACATTTTTAGATCTCACATATAAGTGAGATCATGTATTTGCCTTTCCTGTTTTCTCAGTTCGTAGACTGCACTACATTGATAAGCTTTCCAGCTACCAAACGGATGCCAAATACACTGATTTGTGACGAGAATCTTCATGTAAAAAGAAAGACTACAGCAATTAAGTAGATTTCCCAGTATTCTTAGTTTTACGTGTCCTAGAAAACTCTGTAATTATTGAGTACATATATGTGATTTTATCCTTCTGCCTAAATTAACACTAGAGATAATATTAAGATAGAAATGAGGCAACCCCTTTGGGTCCCCTCCCACCGTGGGAGCTTTTCTGTCTTCTCAATAGATCCTGCTTTCTAAAAAAAAAAAAAAAAAAAAAAAAAGGGGGATAGAAATTTGTTTCCAAAGAGTTGTCTGATTTTGAAGGAGTGGCAAACTGAACTAAACAGAGTTATCTTAAAATTCTAGAATCCTTAAAGATTCTTTTTGAATTATTGATCAAGGTGAATGAAAAGCCTGTCTATCTGTCTCTCACTTGCTCCCTCTTTGTGCGCGCACACGTGTGTGTGTGTGTGTGTGTGTGTGTGTGTGTGTGTGTGTGTGGCATGTGGTGTGTATTTGGGTATTATGGCATTTAGTAAACTGTAGCATAAGTAAAACCACTTAATTCTGGTATTCTCCACAAGGACCCTTAGTGAATCCAATTCATGAATTATTAATAACCAACCCATAATGATTCTTTTAGGTCAAGTTTAACTTAGCATAAGGTTAAAAAGTACAGCTAAAGTCTTGTAGTTGTACCAAGCAACAGAAGGTTGCTGGGGGCCTGAGCGGCCCAAATTTCACCATGGAGGGTTTCCACCGATTTACTTAAGAGGAGCCTTTAAATGCGTCCCCGTCGCCTTGCCTGGCATTTGTTGTATCAGCCTGAATCGGGGCAGCTGCACAGATGATCTCCCAGTCCCAACCAGGCCCCTGACGTTCTGCAGGTCACCTTTGGCAGGCACCTGTACGAGAAGTCCCAACTTAAGTGGCTAGAGGGGGCACAAAACACGCAGGAGCTCAATGTCAGAGAGGACCAGGGGCCTGTGGCCATCTGGCTCTCTGCATGGCCTTTCTAGAGTCTTCAAAAAAAATTCAAGTGTTAATTATGTTAAATTCCAGTGCTAGACAAGCTTTGCTCTGGTCCCATCCACCTCCCCCCTCAATCACTAGACAGCCTTTTATGCAATTTTCATACTCCAACATCTTTGTTAAATATTTAATGGAACAAAAAGGTTTTGTTTGTTTGTTTCTTGTTAAGTTATCTTTCCTTTTATTCTGCTCCAAGCATTTAGAAGAACATTTTCAGTGTTGGGGAAATTCTCACTGGATTATGGATTATGTTCTCTAATGGTCAGCTTCTTATTTCCTTCAGCTTTTCTTCTTGATCAGAATGGTTTTTTTAAGAGACAGGGTCTCACTCTGCCACCCAGCCTGGAGTCCATAGTGGCATGATCATAGCGCATGGTAACCATGGACTGCTGGGCTCAGGTGATCCCCCCTCAGCTTCCCAAGTAACTGGGATTACAGGCGCACACCCTCCACACCCGACTAACTTTTCATCTTTTTTGTAGAGATGGGGGTCTCACTTTGTTGCCCCGGCTGGTCTCAAACTTCTGGTCTCAAGCAATCTTTTCGCTCAGAGAGTTGCTGGGATTATAGGCGTGAGGCACTACTGCTCCCAACCCACACTGACTCTTTTTAAATGATGCAGCATCCTTTAAAACAGTTTCTGTAGGCTGAAGATTGAGTTTTACAGGAAAAAGCACCAGAATGATGATGACTTTCCTACCTGGGGCCACCTTAAATACTCTTAGTTCGGTGCCGAATTTTACCCCCCAGAAATCTCTCACCACTCCAACCTCCTTTTTTTTTTTTTTTTTTGAGTTAGAGTCTCACTCTGTTGCCCAGACTGGAGTGCAGTGGCCGCTCCCGGCCACTCCAACCTACTCTTTATTGTTATCACGATTCTTATTTTTTTATTATGTGATATTTTCTTCATGGCCTCCCTTTAATTCCCTATTTGTGATTATGAGTCATGTGATGGGTCACAAAAAATAAAAATGTGATCGCTCCACCTGTTCACAAGACATTCATTTACTCCCCACCCATGTAACTTTAAACCATTGACAATGATACAGTCATGCATCACTTAACAACAGGGATATGTTCTGAGAAATGTATCATTGTGTGAACATTTCAGAGTATCCCAAACTGGGTGGCACAGCCTACCACATACCTAGGCTATGTGGTCTAGCCTATTGCCCCTGGACTACAAACCTGACAGCAGGTTACTGTACTCAATACTGTAGGCAATTATAGCACACCCATAAGTATCTGTGTCTAATTATAGCACACATAAGTATCTGTATCTAAATATGGAAAAGGTACAGTAAAAAACACTGTATAGATGATTTTAAGATGATACACCTATGGAAGGTGCATAACAAGAACGGAGCTTGTAAGACTGGAAGTTGCTCTGGGTGAGTCAGTGAGTGGGTGGTGAGTGAATGTGACATTACTATCCACTGCTGTAGACTTTGTAATTATTGTACACTTAGGCTGTGCTAAATTTAGTTTAAAAACTTTCTTCAATCATGAATTAATACTGGGTGTGGTGGCTCGTGCCTATAATCCTAGTGCTTTGGGAGGTTGAGGCAAGAGGATTGCTTGAGCCCAGGAGTTTCAGACCAGCCTGGGCAATAGAATGAGACCTCCTCTCTACAAAAAAAAAAAAAAATTAGCCAGGTCTGGTGGTGCATGCCTGTAATCCCAGCTACTCGAGAGGCTGAGGCAGAAGGATCACCTGCGCCTAGGAGGTCAAGGCTGTGGTGAGCCTTGAGTGTGCCGCTGCACTCCAGCCTGAGCAACAGAATAAGACTCCAATTCTAATGATATTAATACTAATAATAAGAAGAACAAATTAACCTGAGGTTACTGTAACTTTTTTGCTTTATAAACTTTTTACTTTGTTTTTAACTTCTTGACTCTTTTATAATATCACTTAAAGCACGAGCACATTGTGCAACTATACAGAAACATTTTTTCTTCATTTCCTGTCTCTGTAAGTTTTTCGCTATCTTAATTTTTTTTTAAACTTTCTTGTTAAAAATGAATACACAAACATACACTTTAGCCTAGGCCTACACAGCATCGGCTAAATCACCCTTGATTTTCTCTCCCACATCTTGTCCCAGTAGAAGGTCTCAGGGGCAGTAACACCCATGGAGCTGTCATCTCCTGGGATAACGGTGCCTTCTTCTGGAAGACCACCTGAAGGACCTGCCTGAGGCTATTTCACAGTTAACTTTTTTTAGTAGGTAGAAGAAGTGTGTGTTAAAGTAAATATGAAGGCTTGCTCAGCCTGTGTCATCCTAGCACTTTGGGAAGCCAAGGCAAGTGAATGACTGAGCCTGTGGGTTCGAGACCAGCCCGGGCAACTTGGCAAGACCTCGTCTCTACAATAAATCAAACAAACTAGCCAGGTGTGGTAGTACGTGCCTGTAGTTCCAGCGACTTGGAAGTTTGAGGCGGAAGGATCGCCAGAACCCAGCGGGTTGACGCTGGGATGGCTGTCAGTGTGCCCCTGCCCTCCAGCCTAGGCCACGGAGTAAGACTCCGACTCAAGAAAAAATAATAATAATAACAATAAAAAGTATACTGTAATAAATACATAAACCGGTAACATAGTCATTGATTATTATCAATCATTATGTACTAGACATACCTGTATAGTGTGTGTTATGTAACAGGCAGTTCAGCAGGCTTGTTTATTTTTATTTATTTGTTATCTATTTATATATTATAGAGACATGGGGTATAATTCGGGGTTAGGAATACAGACATTGATCATGCAGGTACCCTTGTTGATGAGGTATGCCCCTCCCTCCCCTAGCAGTTTCCCTCAACTGCTTATCCTACTCCTCCCCAACAATTTCCCACTACTGCCAATCACTTTCTTATAGCATTATAATTGTTCAAGTTCCATTTATGAGTGAGAACATATGGAACTCAGTTCTTTGTTTCTGTGATAAATCACTGAGTATGATCGACTCCAAATCCATCCACGTGTATCCTTTATGGCCTCATAATATTCCATTGTGTATATGTACCACCTTTTTTTTTATCCAGTCCAGCTTCGAGGGGCAACACGGTTGGTTCCATGTTTTTGCTATTGTGAATAGAGTTGCAACAGACATACGTGTGCAGGTATCTTTTTCGTAGAATGATTTGAGTTCCTCCGGGTATATTCCCAAGAGAAGAATTGCTGGGTCATATGGAAGGTTAATTTCTAGTTCTTTCAGAAATCGCCACACTGTCTTCCAAAGAGGTTGCACCAGTCTGCATTCCCACCGGCAGTGTAAACGTTCCTTTTTCTCCACGTCCTCGCCAGCATCCGCCGTTGTTTGTTCTATTTATGATGTGGCTTGTTTAAACCAGCGTCACCACAGACACGTGAGTAACGCACTGGGCTGGACATGAAGACAGTTGCGAGGTCGCTAGGTGTCAGGAGGACTTTCAGCTGTCATCACCTTACG